ACATGGCGGCGGCGGCAACAATACTACAGTGAGAATAAAAGTTACGCCTTCTTTCTTTGCGTGAAGATGGAGAAGGGTATAACTGCAGCCTGGAGATCACCGTGGACGAAGCAGAGTCCAGCCCACCCCGGGCTGTCCAGCCCACCCCGCCACATGTGGTTGCCACAAGCCCGCCGCCTCCGCTCACTCAAGGCCGTAAATAATGTGTTTTTAACCTTAAACCGCATAAACACATCTCATTACACCAAATACACAAAATAATGTTCTTTTTAGCAACATCATATGACCCCTTTAAGTTACAAGTTGAGTGTCAGTGTAGAGTCAAAGCAGTTCGCCGAATACAAAATTTCCATTTGATCACCGCTGTCAGTCATGATCTGATGATAATATGATTCCATTTTAGACAGAATTTATTAAAGCATTATTACTGAAATCACATCAAGCAGGTTGACAGTACAGTTTACCTGTTGAGATTCACTGTACATTACAATGAACATCATAAAATCCTGTTAAGTAAATGTAACTCTTCAGTATTTTTTACTGTCTTTGTAATCACCTCTAAGCAATTATTATTTAGGTAGGGTTAAGAAAAAACATTATTTATTATTTATGTAGAGTTATGTATTTATTTATTTATTTAGGTCAAAAATAATTCTAACCAGTCTAACAGTCATTAAAAAAAGACAGAAGTGAAAGTTTGAATGGGTTAACCACCCTAAACTCAACAGAAATGTATAAATATGGAAGTATTTTGTCTTAACACATGACAATTGTCATTAGCATAAATCTGCAATATGTTAAAAATCATTGCATGTTAAATCAAATTATTTTACAAAAGTGGATCAAAAACAATGTCTTTAACCCTGTTGTTCCCAACTTTTGTCTTATACTTACAGTAGTTTAGAGACTATTTCAAATATGTGTTTCATTCAGTGTTTTTTTTTACCCTACAGAGTGATCTATGGAGTTCCCAAAGCTCCCCCTTCACTCCGGCTCTGTGTTATCAGTAGTGGACATGCACACTGGTGGAGAGCCGCTGCGCATTATCCTGAGTGGGTATCCAGAGGTGAAGGGGGACACTATCCTTGCAAAACGACGCTATGTGAGAGAGCATCTCGATCATCTTCGCAAGGTCTTGATGTTCGAGCCCCGTGGTCACTATGATATGTACGGAGCCCTGCTGGTCAGAAGTGAGTTAGCAGAGGCTGATCTCGGCGTCTTGTTCATGCACAACGAAGGGTACAGCACTATGTGTGGCCAAGCTGTCATTGCTCTCGGGCGCTTTGCGGTGGATTATGGCTTGATTAAAACGCCAACTTCACCAGAGACGCAGATAAACATACACTGCCCCTGCGGCTTAGTGAAGGCCTTTACACAGTATTCCAATGGGAAAACTGGAGCTGTCAGATTCCACAGTGTGCCAGCGTTTGCTTTCGCTACAGGTGAGCAATATGGTGTGATCATGATAATATGATCATAAAACATTTTTAAGTTTGATTATGTTCAGGTGGTGTCGCTTTGGAACATATATTATATTTTTAAACTGTTTTTAATTAATAATTTGCCATACCTCTTTTATATATATTTCTATAATATAATATTTAAATTGTCTTTGAAGGAACTGTTTAATTCTTTGCCATCCTTCTTTCTCTAGATGCGAGTGTCTCAGTACCAGGATATGGGTCCATCACTGTGGACATCAGTTATGGTGGAGCTCTTTATGCTTTTGTGAGTGCAGAGAAGTTTGGATTGGACGTCAACAAGTCCAAACCAGAGATTTGGTGGATGCAGCCACTGCTGTGAGTGATGCTGTTAAATCCCAGGGAACTGTTGTTATTGTTAACTAAAACTAGCTGTGAAAAAAAATTTTTTTTTGTTTAATTGAAATAATCTAAAATAAAATAAAATAGAAATGCTACCTAAAAGAAACTTAAACTGAAAAAAAAAACGTAAATAAAACTAGAAATGTTGCCTTAGCAATTAATTGCAGGTTTAAGTCGAAATACTAAAATTAGTAAAACTGAAAATAGAATAAAAATAAAGCGAATTAGAAAAAAACAAATAAACATGTCAAATGCACATAACATAATGACTAAAACTAGCTCAAATTAAAATGAAAACTGAAAAAAAAAATAAAGCTAATTCAAAATATAAAAACACTATAGTAGTATATAAATAATTCTAAAATAATTTTATTTGACTCGTTTGATTCTTGAGATTTTATTGGCAGGCGAAAGAAACATAAACCTACTTCTTTCAACATTGTGTTTTCTTAGTCTGTAATTTGTATGATCATTTGCATAATTTACCACACTAGGCAAGGCAAGTTTATTTATATAGCACATTTCATACACAATGGTAATTCAAAGTGCTTTACATAAAAGGAAGTAAAATAATCATAAAAAACGTGATTATTGTAATTGCTGTAATGACCCTATGTAAAGCTGTACCATCCTGTCAGTGAGAATCTGGCCTTCCTCTATGGCACAATCCTTACTGACGGCAAAGATGCTTTTTCTGAAGAGCCCACGGCCAATGTGTGTGTGTTTGCTGATGCGCAGGTAAAACCAGTTGTTTATATGAATCCATACACAGGGAGTTCTGGACTTCAGGACTGTTCTTCCTAATATGAAATCAGTTGGTTGATGAGGACTGGTCTTTTGCTCCTCAGTCTATGTAACAGAGGTTTGTTATATGGGTTGTCAAGTGGACAGAAGCCCTGCAGGGTCAGGCGTCACTGCTCGTATAGCTCTTCAGTACCATAAGGGCCTGATCGGACTGAACCAGACAAGAAGCTTCAAGAGTGGAGCTACAGGATCAGTTTACAGGAAAAGCAATCGAGGTACCTGTAGAAAATATAAACGGATTTTCATATCAATTTAACTTTGAATTGCTTTAAATAAGGGAAGTACAAATCATTACATAATACAACTCAGTCATTTAAGAGTCTAGTCCTGGAAATGTAGTATTCTTTAACAAAACCAGTAATTGCAGCTGGTCTGTTGTTGAAGGAGACCACATGTGGTGACTTAAGGGCTGTGATGGTGGAGGTCACAGGTCATGCTCAGTACAGCGGTGTGGCCAGCTTCATCCAAGAGAGTGATGACCCTCAAGAGTGGAGGCTTCCTTCTGCGCTGACTCCGTGAACTTGGTTACAACTGAAATTTCTGCTTCTGATCGCAAGGTACAGTGTAAGAAAGAGTTTCTGAGCTTGAGAGCATGTGAATCTTCAGATGTAGGTTCTTTGTAAAAGAAATCATGTTTAGATATTGAATAAACGTTGTACTGTGACAATTACTTGTCGCAAAACTAGTCTTGTAAACATTTAAATAAGATTTAGGATTTAAATAAAAAAATTATGTAAAATAAAAAATGAATGAATTTGGTATTATTGTAATTTGATACAATCTTGATATCAATATAATTTTGATCAATATTATTGTAAAATTTATTGAATATATTGAACTAAATAATATAAACATTCAAACTAATTATATGTGAATAGTAAATGACATCTACTGTATGTGTGCCACTGTAATTGTTAATAATAATTTCCTGAAATGTTTGAAACATTTAATAATAATAGAAGGGTAACAATTTTCAAAAGGCACTAATCTATCATCTGTACTGATTGAATAAGAATTAAAATTAAATTGTTTAAATTTGATATTGTAATTGTTAATATTGCCCACCAGAGGGCACCATCTGACTATATTTGCCCAAGCAAAAACTGTAGGAATAGTGCAGTGACACCGTTATTAATAAAATAAAAATAGTGTTGTTTCAATTTATGATCAACATACCCCAGCATTTTTCTTAACTGGTTATTCTTTTTACCATTCACTAACAATCAGAGGAGACTTAAATTGACAGCATAACAGAAAATACTACTCAGATTCTTCCATTTATTCTCTTGTGATTCATCTTACAATGGAAGGTTGGGTTTTCCTTAAATTATAAAAGTCCAATGGAGGTATCTTACACTGAAAAAGGAAACTTTGTTACACCATACAACTAGGCTGCTGCTTAAAAAAAACAAAAACAAAAACAGGAGAGATTCCAGACAGGAAGGAAGAACGTAAGGGAAGAAGAGTATTGCCTTGATCCAGTTACTTACAGATCATCTTAAATATGACTACATTTCACATGAAAAGTCCTCAAACAGACAGACCAACACTTGACATCAGAAACTGCATAGTGTCTGTACAATGACCGTCCACAGTGTTTAAGACAACATGGGCACCAGTGGCCCCTAACAACACACTTTTAAAAAAGATCATTCCCGGTCATCCTGTACCGGATATCACAATACAGTCTTATTTCTGAATAAGCAACCCACAGCCCTGGTTATTGATGTAAGTAATATTCCTTAAAAACACTCTATATGTATTATTAAAAAAAAAACACTTTTAGTCAAAAGGGCAAATCACTTTCTAAAAGGTGTACAGTCAACTTTACAGCTTTTCAGTGACCTATGTACAAACGCTTGTCATTAAACCTTTAAATAACATCCATTCCCACCTTGAATCAGTCAGAAGAGCCAGAATCGGGGTAGTTCAGATGAGTGACGCTTTAGCATGCCAAGACTCAGTGTCACTTTTGGCGATTTGTTTGTTTGGTTACAGTAAGAAAAATCGGTGTAGACAAGATTTGCAGTTTCTATGGTCAAATGAGTGTGGAGTTCCCGACTCATATCCAATCAGTAAACTCACAGTTATCTCAAACTCTGATAATATCCTGGTGCTCCAGCACTCTTGATGAAATAAATCATTAAATTAGGTTCATTTGGCAGCCATATTCTTAATTTCTTGGAGTCTTTTCTCTGCATTCAGACAGGTTCCCCATTACAGTCTCATGACACATGATAAACTGACCGTTTTTGGGTAAACATGCTTTCCTCCGCAACCCGGGATCGCTAATGAGTGTCCTCCAAACATTCACCACCACAGGGAGGTTGTTTGGTTGTAATGAAATTCGTCTGAGTGGGTTGGTCAGCTTGACCGCCGTTCAGAAGTTAAGCTTGGTAATTGGACGCTCCCTGCCGCTGTCTGACGTCTGGCTGTTGATGCGTTTGCGATTGCGCTTCATCTTCGACAGATCTTTATCGAAAACCTCTCCAGAACGCAAAGCGGACACCAGGTCGTCAAACTCGCCCCCGTTGTCCTCTCCGTTCTCTTTGGCTTTTCGAGCCTTCCTCTCTTTCTCCCTCTGCTCCTTGAGCTGAAAGATGTCAAAAAGATGATGTCAGATTTGGTAGTGAAGATTGAAGAGATGAGTTATGGACCTCTTAAGTTATTCTCTTATGCATAAGAGAAGTCTCTTATGCTCACCAAGGCTGCCTTTATGAAACTTTATGATGCCTTTAAAATAAAGCAGAATTTTCATCAGCCATTACTCTAGTCATCAGTATCACATGATACTTCAGAAATATTTCTGATGTCTTGGTGAGCATAAGAGACTTCTTTCAAAAACATTTAAAAATTCATAATAATTAAGTATTATAGGCATTGATAAATAAGTAATCATTTCCAAAGTTTGTGTAAAAAGTTCACATACCTGAGCCTCCATTCGTGCCCTGCGCTCCTCCTCCTCTTTGCGTCGGCGCATGTTCTCGTTCTCTTGACGGGCCTCTGCAAAAGACTGCAAGAACTGGTCGAATATCCCAAAGAACTCATCAGGCTGCATCTTATCAGCATCTTCGCCGAAGTGCTTGACCGCCTTTAAGAACTGAAGAACATAAGCACTGGTCATATAAAAGCCATTTCCTGCTCTCTTTGCTTTTCAGAGTAATGACGTGAACAAGAATACCTCAAGAAAATCCTGACAAAACACTTAAACACTCAATACTCTTAAAATATTTTAAAGGCACAAACATGGCTCAAAATGAGTTTTTTTTTATTTTTTGCAACATATTCTGTGTACTATTTTTTTTTTTAAATAATAGCTATAAATTACTGGTCTGTTGTTGCTACATTAGTTATTTCTGAAATTGTGGTTGTTTCGCCATAATGCAGCTGAGACGATTTTCCATTTAAAAAAAGTATTAATAGTACCAACAAATTTGTAAGATAAGTAATATGATAAATAAAATGATTTATTAATTTACATGTCACTGAACAACGTTGCTAAGTAATGTTACTGTTTCATGGTTATATTTACAGCACAATTTATTACACCAATATTCAATTTATCACAGAGAACCATATTTTTACTTTCGTATGACATAAACACATGTAGAATGAATGCGAGATGTAGTGACAATGAGATAAATAATGTTCATAATAATATAAAAAAATATTTGAAAAGTTTTACAGTGCAAAGAAAGTGCAAACTGCGAGGAAAAATAAATTGCAGTGAAACTGCCTGACAGTAGCATAACAAACTCTGGGTGTCTAATGAACTTCTGGTAAATGAAGTGTGTGACGCACTGCTAGTTATCCGGTCACCGGTAGCCAAACATAAAGTGGTCTTGTTAACCCAGATTTCTCCAGTGACTGATTACAGCTTAAACACAGGGGACTGGAGTCTTGCCATGACACTGCTGCTGCCTCGTGCCGTCTCACCACAGGGGAGGAGGCCTAGTCTTCCCACAATGCTTTGATGTGCCTTTATCACTGCCATATGGAACAGCTCCTCCGTGGGCCTGTATGTGCATGAGCCAAGGGGTATATTTTGCCCAGCATTTATATCTCTTCTTATCTGTCTCAGACTTCAGACAGGAGCTCTAGGTTAGGTTGGAGATATATTATTTCTGCTATAGAATGCATGTGGCATGTTATTGTGTATTTACGTGTAGGTCCTCTCAGTTAAGTCGTTCAAATATGCATTTAAATACAATTTATACATAGGGGCATAAAATCAAAAATTTAATCTGTCATGATAGCATAATACAGACAAAAAGGCTCATTAAAAATTAAATTCAGTAGTTCAATTCAATTCAATTAAAAGTTTATTTGTACAGCGCTTTTCACGATACAAATCATTGCAAAGCAACTTTACAGCAAATTAAGTTTCTACAATATTTAGTGGTAGCTTATCAGTGGTGACTGTCAGTTAATGTACATATGGCAGAAATGTACGGAAAAATCAAAGACGTAATCAAACAGACGATGAACACTATTAACAGCAATTATTATATGATGCAATCAAACTTATAGCAAAATGTGGTAGTTCTGTATGTTGTTTCAGGGTTGGCATCATCTGAGGTCCTCTGAGGGGTTGGCATCATCTAGTAGCATCAGTAGTATGACAATCTATTACAATTATTTATTAGAAAAAAATATTTTAAAGTGGTCATCGGATGCCCATTTTCCACAAGTTGATAAGATTCTTTAGGGTCTTAATGAAAAGTCTGTAACATAGTTTGGTTAAAATTTCTCAATGGTAGTGTAAAAAACACCTTTTTTTACCCTGTCAAAAACAGCTCTTTTCAGAGCAAGCTGTTTTGTAGCATTTTCCTTTAAATGTTAATGAGCTCTGCTGACCCCGCCCCGCTCTTCCGAGCTACTCTCTGAGGGACTGTTTACTTTAGCCAAAGTCTCTTTAAAGGGGTCATATGATGTTGCTAAAAAGAACATTATTTTGTGTATTTGGTGTAAT